AAGCCTCACTGGGGAAAGGAGTTCACAGAAGCTCCCAAGTGACAGGGCTTCCAGGTCATCCTCCCCAAATCACGTTGTCCACTGGAGAGGTCAGTGCTCACTGTCACCTCGTTCTTTCACTCCTCAGCTAAGGAACAAATGCAACAGAAGAAAAGTGACAGTCCAAAGGCTGGCACTACTCTGCTTGCGAATGTCATTTCCTGGTGACCTGAAACTCCCTCTGACGTTGCAGACTGTGCAGTCTCTAGGCAGAGTATTTCTCTCATTTTCATCCGCATATGCTCGCTCTGCAGGCAGCGTTTGCTTTGATGTTGGACTCAAATACTGGATGCGTGTTCCTGTCTCCCCCTCTGAGAACCCGGCATCAGTTTACAAACTTATCCTGCCGTTGTCGATGTTCCAGTTTTCCCGCAGGCTCCTGTGGGCAAGAGAAGATTACTATTTACATATCATCGCCTATGTATATTCATGCATCTCTATGCATCGATCTGTTTATCTAAACCCCTGTGTCATCCCCCGTCTTTATCTTTCTCTATCCCTGTTTTCAGCTGCGTCTGTCTAGCTATTCATGGTCGGTCCATTCTCTCCTTCTGTGTATCTCTCAATCCTCGGTTTTCTATACAAGTATATTTATAAATGTCCGCCTCTGTATCCATGTGTCTTTGTCCCTACCTGTCATCTGCCTGTCCCCTTCTCACCATTCCTCATCATTCTGTCCGTGTAACTAGTCGCCTTCTCTCTACTGTATGTGATGCGTCTCTGTCTCTACACGCACCTGCCTTTACCTGTCTCTACCGACCTCTGTGTCCACTTCTGCGTATCTCTGCCTCTGTGTGTCTGTGCATCTAACGATACACCGTCCGTCTGTCTACCACCCACCCACTTATCCATCCGCCTACCTACCTACCTGCCTGCCTCTCCAGAGGAGAGAAGTGAGCTGTTTTCCCATTCGGACAAAATAGGAACGTAAATTATCTGGAAGACTCTATGCAGACCCTTGATAGAAGCTGTCTGGGCCACGGGCCACAGCATGTGGTGAGAGGAGCATGTACTGTTTTGATTTAACGCGCTTTCCTTCTGATTGTGTCTGTTAAGGCTTTTGTAATCAGAAAAATCACTGGGATTGCTGTTTTGTATCTGTCGAAAGTATTCTCTCACAAGGTTTCACACTGGAAAAGAGTAGCCAAATGTGAGGAATGAATAATATCCAAGTAGGCTGTACAATTCTTAAGGTGTTTTAATTATCGT